ATTTGGAGCCCTTTTATGTGTTTTCTCTACTAGTCATGCATGTGTTACATCATTTTGCTCAGCTCTTCTGTCTTCTTATTAGTGTCTTTAGACCCACTTTTTATTTTGTTTAGTTGGCCCAATATTGTGTTACTTATGTCTTCTGTGATCTTGCCAGTTGCCTTATTGTGCTGTTTTGTTTTCTCTCCTAACATCATTTCAAATAATTTTGGTGTGAGGCTTTGGGGACCTGGGAGGTTTTGGAGGCATTTTGTTGGTTTATCTTCTCATGTTTCTATTTTTGTTTACTTTATCTTGAGGTTTGTGAGTTTATTTTAGTGGAAAGTTTTGTTTCCAGTATGGGGTCCCCTTCAGTTAATGTCTGCTTTTCAGTGATGTCCTCTGGGTCTGAGTAACTCCTGGCCTTTGCCTTTGCCTCAGGATCCATCCACCTCTGTGTACTTGAGATGGGAAGTTGCAACATGTTGGACCAGTACCCAGTTATCCCAGAATGGACCACAGTATTATTAATGACCCCTAGGCAAGCTATATATTGGCCTCTTAAAAAATAATCGATTACATCAGCTGTGATACTTGGCAATAGTCAAAAAATCAGCATCAATTGTAGCTTTAAGTATGAATGTAATATTGACAAATCCTAAAGACCAATAATGTACCATCCTTGTCCATAGCAAAGAGGTCTATAATTGTAGTATGCACACCAAGACAAACCAAATATTGGCCTGACCTACGGTAAATATCTACTAAATGACAGGTAACTCTACTAACATAGTACATATTCATCAGCAATAGCTTAAAGTTAACTATCTAGAGATTCATAAAGCTTAGTACTATGCTAGTCAAGGCAGAGGGGGTAAGGAACTGGAGAATGGAAAAAGGCAAAATTTGAAAAATTAATGAATGGGATATGAGAAGGAGTAGAGAAAGTAAGATAACCTACTAAGGAGTGAAAGTAAATTGATAGTGATAAAGAACAGTTGCTGAAAAGAACAAACATGAAAAAGAAGAAAAAGGATCACAAAAACTGATATTTCCTTAAGAAATAAAACTGTCTTTTTCATGGCTATTATTTTCTAGGTAAGTTCTTTATTAATTCTTTCCAGTTTGCTGTTTCTTTCCTGATTATGCCCAGTCTGGATTTTATTCTACCTGTCAATTTTTTTTTTATTGTTATGACTGTTTATCTCTTGTTTCTAAGTTTCTTAGATTTTTGTGCCTTTTAAATATTTTTCCCTTTCATGCAACAGCTTGCTACTTATGAATAGAAGTTATCCCTTCACTTACCCATTTTGATAATATACATGAGAAGTCTTGGTCATCACGTTTTATATTTTCATTAGGAGTGAATTCATACATGTTATGTGATTTTGTTGGCTCTCTTTCCTAGTGTTATATTTTATTCATTTGCCTTAGAACTAGATCTAGCATGAATTACAATTTGGGGGGGATGTCTTTTCGTCACTCTTGATGTCCTGTCTGTGTGTGCTCTGCCTGTGTAGTGACTGTGGTCTCTTCCACTTGCCTCCCAAGCTGCAGCACAGAATGGTGGTCTCTCTCCTGGGTGGTATTGTGGATATCTGGATCTATCCACAGAGCTGTGCGTGACTTGATGGATTCTTCGTTCTTCAGTCCCCTTGGGCCTACCGATTGCCAAATGTGATAGCACCAGACAGTGGTTTGCACCTGGAATTTCTCCCCAGCCTCATTGTCCTTCTTATCCTCTGTCTTTAGTCAAAGCTAGAGTCCAGACTGTTGTCTCAGGAGCATTGTTTCACTCTGCCTGACTCCGCCCCCTGCAACTTCACCCTACCCCACCACATTGCATCCTACGCATCTGAAGGTTCACAAAGACTTTGTTCTGTTTTTTGAGCATTGCTTATCTGTCTAGTTTTTTCCGTATTTATTCTATCATTTCTGTGTATTCAGAGCATTGGGAGTGCATCAAAATTGAATTTATATAGTCCACTTCACTAGAAATAGAAGTTGAGTGTTTACATTTAGCTTCCAACACCTAAAAGAAATAACTCTGTATCCCTGCACTGAGGCCAAGGGCCCTGTGGGAACCACACCTCTCTATTTCATCTTTATGTTCTAGGGACCATCATAGAGCCTTGCATGTTGTAGGTGTGCAACAAATGATAACTGTTGAATAATGAAGTATCAAATATAGTAAATGGCCTCTGTAACTAGAGTCATATATGTGTTTTTACTTAGTGTCCCAAACTAGCAAACATGACTAGGGAATTTAGGAAAAGTAAAAGCATGAGTAAGATTCTTACGACTGCTGTTGAAAATGAACCCATACGTTATTTCTTTCCAAATAAGAGAACAATAATGATCTCTTTCATTTCCAGTTTTTGTTGTTGCTGGTGGTGGTGCTATGTGTGTTACTAGGAAGTAAACCCAGGGGTACTCCAACACTGAACTACATTCTCCACTCTGTTTGTTTGTTTGTTTGTTTATATTTTGAGACTGGCTCTAGTTAAGTTGCCTAGGATGGCCTCAAACTTGCAATCCTCCTGCCTCAGCCTCCTGAGTATCTGGAATTACATGTGTGCACCACCATATCCAGCTCACTTCTTCTCTTGAAAGTAGAAACACCCTCCTATGAGGCACTCTGCTTTCTGAGAATAGAATAAGAGCAACTTGAACAAATTAGATCTGATTCAGATCAGAGGCTTAATTCTCAGTTCTAAGAGATGTTCAAGTTGATATTTTAAAACAGGGATCTGTACATGGGTTTTTGTGGTCACAGCAGCTGCAGAAAACCATAAGCAACTGTGCCCATCAGTGTTTGCTGTATAACCGACCATCCCAAATATAGTGCCTTAAACAAAAGTCCTTTGCTGCATCCCTTGTTCTGTGGATGAGCCACTTGGGGTCGGCATGAGGGAGGGTCAGCTGATGTGGCCGATTTGGGTTCCCTTCACTCACCTGTTGGCTGTGAGCAATGGGATGGCTTATCTGCCTGCATGCGTGGCCTCTGGTTCTCCAGCAAGCCCGCCTCAGCTCATTCACGTGGCACTGGTTACCGGGAACTCAGAGAATGAGCAGAAACACCAGAAAGACTCTTGATAGGTGCAAAGTGTCTATGAAACCCAAGTTGGTACTCACACAGGGTGGCTTCCTCTCCACTCTTGGCCAACGCAGCTCAAGGATAGAGTAATAGGGGGCTCTGGGACATGGCTGTTTGTGCAGTCTACCATGGCAGCAAGGTGTGGGAGGAACAGAGGTGTGACCTTCATCACATTCTCAGAGTTTTCCTTAGAGTTCGGAGCCAGTATTTTTGATGGCTTCGCTACTGAACAGCAATGACAGAGGTGTTCACCATGCTGCTTGGCATGTGGCCGTGGGATTCTTGAGCCTTCCTGCTGAAGTTCACACCCTGTGTTGAAGCCTGAGGGTAGATCTTGCTGATGCTATTCCCAACCTGGAATGTAAGAACTCTCCTCAGGTGTGTGAGTCTGCATTTCTTGAGGACAAAGCACCCCAGAATTTAGTGATTTAAAACAACACCCTTTCCTGCCTCTGTTTCTGCAAAGCAAGGGCTGGCCCTGTCTTGCTCTCTCATTCACATGCTGTCAGTTACTGGTCAGTGAGGTGTGCAACTCAGGATCTCCCGGTATGGACAGGAAGCTGGGCTGCTTATCTGTCTAGCAGACCAATCACGGCTTGTCCTTAAGCCAGCGGGAAGGCTCATGGGAGCAGACAGAAGGTGACAAGGTCTCTGTGGGGTCAAACTGAGTCACAGAGCCCAGCACTGCTTCCCTGAGTGGGGAGTAGACGCCAGGGAGCATGGAGGGCTCTAGGCATTTTGTGATCTATCTTCAAGAAACTTCTTATCATACCTCAACTTCACGTGAAACACTGTCTCCACTTATATCCCCCTATGAAATACTAACACTGTGTGTGCAACAGGAGTAGTGTGAACAGTAGGAGGAAACCACGCTTGCATTTAAAACCACTCAGGTTCCTTTCAGCATCCACTGGTGGAATCTGCTTCACTACCGATTTCTGTGTTCATGTTAATACTGGAAAAGCAAACATTCTGCTGATATTCTTTCCTGAAGACAGTAGTCAACATATGTTCCTCTTCCATTCCCTTCTCTTTGTTCTCCAATCTGGCCTGGCCAAGGCTAAAGGTGCTTTTCTGAAGGGTCCTCTGACTCGCTGTGTTGAGGAAGTCTTGAGAGGCTTCTTGGTCACACCCTTCACCTTGGCATTGCGTGATATGGCCTCTGCCTATCTTTCGGACTGTTCCTTGGGCACATTTGTCCAAGGTCAGCACTGGTGGTTCTCAGTTCTGTGTGTGTGTGTGTGTGTGTGTACATGCATATGTGTGCTGCATGCTACTGGCATCTAATGTCTCATAGCCAACCGCGTACTACAGAGGATTGTCTATTCTGGGCATCAGTAGTGCCTAGGTTGAGAAAGCTTTTTCTGATCATTTCTGCTCCTGGGTCTCTTTTTCTCCCATGAGAGGCATCTCATGATGCCTCTTCCTAGAAGGCTTTTCCTTTAGTACCTCACATTGAAAACCCTTATCCTTCAAAAGCCAGCTCTGTTGCCAAATGTTCCTGGAAACAAGTCCTGGACAACCCAGTACTGGGTATTGCCTGCCGCTGACCAATTCTGGTGATATACATCTAGCACAATTGTTCTTGCTGTGCCTCTCTTCTATGTTAGTTGAGTATTAGTGTATTAACTCTTTCTCTGAACCATGTGCTCCTGTGTGGCCAGATCCTGTCTTAGTTTTGTTCTCAAGCACCTACCACGTACTTTACAGACAGCAGGCACATAAGAAGTAAAGGCTAGGTGATGAGAAACGTGTCTCTCCCATGTCCTTAGATACGAGTATACCAAACAACAATTTCCTTAATAGATTTAGTTATGAAAACAGTCTAATAAGTGAAATCCAAGATTTTGTTTTTGATAATTTAGGTCAAAAAGTATAAGAACTTATTATACAGTGCAACTGATTACTTGTGTTTATTCTGCAGCTGTTTAGTGAAAAAATAAGTGGTGCTGAAGGAACGAAGCTAGATGATGAATTTCTGGACATGGAAAGGGTAAGAGAACATTTTAATACATAAACTGAATTAAAATGGTCTTTTTTAAGTTTCTTTTTTTAATAGAATATGTTTACAATACCTGATAGTTATATTCCTCTTGAGGAATTGGTACCTACCCTTGCTGACCTACCTAAGTCAACCTTAGAAGTTGATTTTCGTGCTGATGCTGTGAAGGGCATCAGAGTGGAAAGTAACAATGCTGAAAGATGGGCGTGGGTTATGCAACCCAGAAGGCAGTCCCTGCTGACCTCCGAATCCCAGTCAGACCTGCCCTTCAATTCCGTCCAGGGCAGGGGCTTGAGGAAGGAAACAGGCTGTAGCTAATGGGTTCCCTCTAGTGGCCAGAAGTCAGAATGCGCAAAAGATGGGCGTCTTGTTATTGGCAGGCCACAGTAATTGTGGTTATCTATGGTGGATAGTCCAAATGTGTTTCTGGGGCAAAAACTTTCAGATCTGTAACAGCTGACTTACTGTGTGACAGACACAGTCTCTGGTCCTGAACAGCAAGTAGCTTTGTCTAGTTTTGCCATCAGAAAGCAGTGCAAACTTGTGTCTGTCTTTTCCCAGCTGGGGAGCAAAGGGATGAGTTGTTTCCTATTTGCCTCACGAGGCAGTCTGGAGAACCATGGAGAGTGTTAATGTATTTGAAACAACTAGGATAATGTGACCAGCTTGGCGCATGAACAAGTGTAACATACTCCAGGGCAAGACTGTAGAGTCCCTGTCCCTTACTGAGTTTCCTGGTCAGCTGAGCAGCCAGCATTGATGGGGATAGAGGAGGATCACTGGTAATTACCAACCTACTTAGCTTCCATCCCCTTTGTCTTAGATCTCTTATCTTTTCAATTTTTAATTTTTATTTATTTGTTTCTTGGTGGCATAGGGGGTTGAGGCCAGCGCCTTCACACTGAGCTATACTCCCAGCCTTTGTTATTTTTTATTTTGAGACAGGGTCTCACTAAGTCACAACATTGTCCATACTGGACTCAAACTTGCTATCCTCCTGTCTCAGCCCCTCATAGTGCTGGGATGATAGGCACCTGGCTTTGTTTTGGACTTTCTAAAGGAGGCCTGGTTCTAGTGATGAAGCTTCCTAGAAGAGAGGAGGTAGCATGAGGCTAGGTTGTGGCAGGTTGTGTAGGGTGTGACAGGTTGTGGAAGGCAGTGCTGGGGATGAAGTCCAGTCCCAGGCTGTGGCCTGAAGAGCATTGTTATCAGGGCCCAAGGAGTGCTCGCTTTTCCAGATGAGAAGTTTTAAGGTTTTAGAAATGTGAAAGCCTTGAATTCTGGAAAGATGGTGGAGTGGTGAGAGGCAGAGAAAGAGCCTCTACAAGATTTGGTGTCCAGATGCTGGAAGAGAAAGAGGAGGGAAGTGGGCCTCCAGGACCCAGGAAAGATCTGATGCAAGAATTGAAGCCCATGGGGAGAGCAAAGAGAGAATTTCAATGAAGAAGGAGGAGGTGGAAGGTGGCACTTCGTCTCTAAGCTCAGCTTCACTGTGTGGGAGGGCAGTTTGAACCTGGAGAGAGAGGTGGTGGGTGACCCCAGAGGCCTCTGTGGAGAAACACACCAGTGCAACAGAGCAATGGATACAGCAGATTTCAGGGGCTGGTGAGTTATTCAGGTTCAAATGTCGTCCAAGAGAGGGTGATTGGCAGTACACTTCTTGGAGTAGGGGCAACTGAAATCAGAACTCAGAAAAGCTGTGGGCTGGCTTCATCTAGTGGCTCCCCGTGTCAGGGTGAGGCTGCTGAGTTCAAGCCAGCAGGGAGCATATGGAGTATTACGGGATGAACAAATTGGGTTCCAGCCATACTACCAGAAACCAGCCTGAACTTCAGTGGAACTAAAAGTGCAGATTTCTGGTATTATCCACTTACTCCTGTGTAAAGCTACAGCTGGCTTGCTGAGATTAATCAACACAGTTCTGCAATCTGTCTGCCCACATTGTCTACCAGTGACAGCAGAGACATACCTTGAAGTGGACATTTGCTTCTCTTATTTTCATCTTTTCATCTTTCTTTTCTTGTTTTTGTTTTATTTTGTTTTTTCTTGATTCTTTGTTCTTTTTATATGAATGTAAGCATGCTTTCCATTATTTTGTTTTTGTTGTTCAGCTCTGTTCTTGTTTTTATTTCTTCCTTCTCTCTTTCCGTCCAGTCACCATTTTCCCAAAAATTGCATAATTTTCCTTTGTCCACCAGCCTTGCTTCTAGTCTCTTTCTCTAATTCTGTTTCTCTATCTTTTTCACTAACTTCTTTTAAATTTTCTCCCATGAGGGAAAACTCACCACATCGAGGGCTTATTTACTGTGTAGAAATTCCTGGTTTGTTTTAGATTTTGTTATATAACCATAAAAGACCTAATTCATATAGTTAAAAGTGGAGAATTAATAGTTACCACAGTTTGTCATTTTCTAGGCCATGTTTGATACTACTATTATTGCTGATTGAAATACTTTAGCCAACTTGACATACTTGTGCTAATCAGTTTTTGTTCTTGCTACATCAAGACTGAGGTTGCATAAGAGTCATAAAAAGTAGTATAGGCCAGTGCCAAAGCCTGAGCCAGGGGCTGGGCCAAGTAGGCAGCAACTTTTCTCCTCTACTAAATAGAAAGGGTAGGGCCTTATGACAGACTGAAAACCCCAAAACCAGATACACCTGCAAGACATCTCTGAGAAGCAGAGACCTTTCCTAAAGGTTCTAAATACTAGCAATAAATCTATTCACAATCAGCAATTTGCAAACACAAACCCAGAAATTAAACTACAAAAAAAGAAAAGAAAAATGGGAAGACACTTACACAAGATGAAACCTCTGTTCAGCAGGGGACACTGAGGTGGAACAGCTCTAAAGCCACCAACCTGGGCTCTCTGAAGTGGTAACAGCAGAAGTAACAAAGCATATTAAATGAGGCACTAGGAAAAAAATCAAACCATAAATAATTTCTCAGATAACTACAGAGGTGGTGACCATAGCTAAACACATGTTCAGTGACTCTAGAACAGATACGGATTAAAGAAAAAAGAAGAGCTTAGAGAAAAGATGGAAACCATGAATGGCCAACATAGGAAAGAAATGGAATCCATGAAACAGGTTTAAAGAGATATCTAGGTATCTTAGTTACTTTTCTCTCATTGCTGAGACAGAATACCTGACACCCAAAATTAAGGAAGGAAAGGTTTATTTAGCTCACAGTTTGTGAAGGTTTCAGTACATATTTTGCTGGCTCCAAGGCACAGGGGCACATGGCAAAGGGCAATGCTTCAAGGTGGCACAAGACAGCAAAACAGCAAGAGCAAAATGGGGGCATGAACAAGACTCTTTTCGTCCCTTATACTGTAAGCAGGCTGCCCCCATCCAGGGGCGTGCAGCACTCACACCATCTCCTTGCCCTCCTCCTGCACAGGCTCAGGATGATACAGAGTAAGGACCTGCCCTTGCTCAGTCACTTAACCCTCTAAACTTACATTGACACAGTGAACAACATCCCAGAGCAGGAAGGGTGAGTCCTTTTCATCCTACAACGTAGAACTGCTGAGTCACTTAGCCAAGCCTCTAGACTCCTCAAGTTGACACTATGTAGGGGACAGTGACTCTTAGCATATCATTTTAAGATAGAATAATTCTAGTCTGAATACAAGCCTCAAAATGTGTCTTGAGAAACATCCCAGAGGGGTTGTAAAGAGTTAATTTTACAGTCCTGACTTAGCCCTGGAATGCTTCTCCAAAGACAAAAAACACCCAGGCCTAGATAACCACCTATGACCTTGCCTGGGTTGATTCATCCTTTCCCTGGCCCTAGATAAACATTGTAACCATAAAGAAAATATATGGTTATCTAAAGGGGGATATATAAAATAATACAAAAAGTATGTATCATTATGGTTGGGCTGAAGACCAGAGCCTGACCCGGTTACATGGCACAAGGAAAACAACCTGTGCCAGGGCTACAACATTTCAATCTGTTACCATGGAAACCAAAAATGTATATAAACTGGGACCAAAGGCAGGCCCACACTCACTTCCCAGATTGGCAAATGGAAGAGGATGGCTAGCCTCAAATTAAACTCTGGTTTTGTTTTCAGTAGACTCGGGTCTCTTGTGAAATACAGCCCAACTTATGCCGCAGGGGGTTTTCTGCCCTAACAACTATGTATCAACCATAACAATCCACCCCTTGTCAACTTGGCAACCAGATACATTTCTTAAACCAGTTTCCAGATACAAAGACATTATTCTTATCATTTCACAACTTGAACATTATAACACAAGTTTAACAATCCTTAAGAACCAGTATTAAGTCTATCAACATTATATTACATTAGAACCATAACACCAGGGGATTAAAATTCTGTTAAAAATATACACAGCAAAATGAGCTGATGTGAGGACAAAACCTCAGAAAAGAAAGGATTGTGGTTAGCAATCTTGAAAAGAAAGGTTTCTTAAAAATAGCAAAGGCCCATGAAATATTAACCCAACAGCTTCTAGATGATACAAAGGAAAATAATGTAAGATTGATTAGAGTCAATGAAAAAGCAGGATATAGCACAAAAGACATAAAGAAACCTGTTCAGAGAAGCAATGGCAGAAAAATCCCAAGTAGGGAAAAAGAATTTGACATCTGTTATAGTTAAGTGAGGCATATAGAACTCCAAGTAATCATGATCAGGAAAAAATCTATAGCAAAACTTAAGATAGTCAAGATTTCAGAAATACAACACAAGAACAGAGTAATAGAAAAAAATCACCTACAGAGGAAAGCCCATCAGAATCACAGCAGACTTCTTAACACAAACCTTCAAGTCAAAGCTTGGAATGGAAGTGGTTCAAGCCCTATAAGAAAACAACCTCCACTGCAGATTGATGTAACCCACAAAACTATCTTTTAAAATTGATGGAGAAATAAGATACTTCCATGACAAAGAATACCTGAAGAAATTCATGAATACCAAACTACCACCCCAAAACATTCTGAAGGACATTCTAGA